GACAGACGGCAGGGAATATAGATGGTGGCGGTAGACGAAGAAGGAGTCTATGCGAGGGGCAAGCAAGGCAGTGGAGAAACGGGAGGGGATGAAGTAAGAGTTTTTCACCCTACAGGCTAGGGCGCTCTCCTAAGTATAAACACAGGTCTACATATAAAAATTTATTTCTAAATTTATTTCTTATTCAGAAATCTATGCTGAGATACCCCCTAACCATAATAAATGCATATCCATCAGAAAATATAGCTCCTGTGGTGATATATTGCGCATGCGCTAACATTCTAACGTAAACAGATTTTGTACTGATTGTCATATGAAGCGGACACTTTACGTGGAAGGTATTCATCCTGTTTCTTAAGTGAAGTCTACGGGTGGTATGTTATTATGTAAATCTATTCTGGGATACCTGCTCTTCATTTTAAATACATAATTTTTTCAAAATATTATTCTTCTCATGAGATATTGCGCATGCGCGTGCACCGTTTCAGGCGTTCAGAACGGACTGAAGCAAACTGTATGAGATAGTTTGCTGAGTGAGAGAGGGGTGGGAGACTGAGGACAGGCGGTAGGAGAAACAGCTGAGGGCGGTAGACGAAGAAAGAGTCTATGCGAGGGGCAAGAAAAGCAGTGAAGAAACGGGAGGGGATGAAGTAAGAGTTTTTCACCCTGCAGGCTAGGGCGCTCTCCTAAGTATAAACACAGGTCTACATATAAAAATTTATTTCAGAAATCTATACTGAGATACCCCCTAACCATAATAAATGCATATTCATCAGAAAATATAGCTCCTGTGGTGAGATATTGCGCATGCGCTAACACTCTAACGTAGCCAGATTGTGTACTGATTGGCATATGCAGCGGACACCTTACATGCAAGGTATTCGTCATATTTCTTAAGTGAGGTCTACGGGTGGTATGTTATCATGTAAATCTATCCTGGGATATCTGCTCTTCATTTTAAATGCATAATTTTTTCAAAATATTTTTCTTCTCATGAGATATTGCGCATGCGCGAGCACGGTTTCAGGCGTTCAGAACGGACTGAAGCTAACTGCATGAGATTGTTTGCTGAGTGAGAGAGGGGTGGGAGACTGAGGACAGACGGCAGGGAAGCTAGCTGATGGCGGTAGACGAAAAAGGAGTCTATGCGAGGGGCAAGAAAAGCAGTGGGAAACGGGAGGGGATGAAGTAAGAGTTTTTCACCCTGCAGGCTAGGGCGCTCTCCTAATTATAAACACAGGTCTACATATAAAAACTTATTTCAGAAATCTATACTGAGATACCCCCTAACCATAATAAATGCAGATTCATATGAAAATATAGCTCCTGTGGTAAGATATTGCGCATGCGCTAACCCTCTAACGTAGCCAGATTGTGTACTGATTGGCATATGCAGCGGACACCTTACATGCAAGGTATTCGTCTTATTTCTTAAGTGAGGTCTACGGATGGTATGTTATCCTATAAATCTATGCGGGGATACCTGCTCTTCATGAATCATTTTAAATGCATAATCTTTGCAAAATATTATTCTTTTTATGAGATATTGCGCATGCGCGAGCACCGTTTCAGGCGCTCAAAACGGACTGAAGCAAACTGCATAATATAGCTTTCTGATTGAGAGAGGGGTGGGAGACTGAGGACAGACGGCAGGGAAGATTGCTGAGGGCGTAGACGAAGAAGGAGGCTATGCGAGGGGCAAGAAAGGCAGTGGGGAAACGGGAGGGGATGAAGTTAGTACTATAGTACAGTACATGTACTAGTACAGTAATCGATTGCAAATATATTCATTATTATGAAAATGCAACTTAGATATGGACAACACTACAGAAAACTTTTTCTTCTTTTTTATAAATAACGCGATGGGCGTGTAAACATGTCGTGTCGCCATTTGATACCCGGTTCATATGGTCCGATTAGAAACAAGGAGGTATAAGGAGGTGGAAGGAGAAAAAGGAGGCAGATGAGAATGCATGTAAAGGAGGAGAAGAAAAAATAAGAATATTCATGAGCAGGAGATAGAGAAAAATCCTAACTTATGGGGAGTAGCAGGCTGTATGCGAAGAAAGTAATGTATGGAGAGTGTGACGGCAAAGATCTATATAATTTGTCTTTGGTGGGAATGAATAACAGACGTAGAGAGGGAGCTAGGAGTAGGAGTAGGAGTAGGAGGGGAATGCTTGTCCTTTGCAATATTTTGGCATTTGATTGCGTTGCTTTTCTGAATGTTTTCTTGTGTTATGTAATTAACACATAGTATGATATAATTTTACAATCATCTGATCGCGGCTTTTATTAATGATTTTCTATAGAAATGGGTCCATGGATTTTAGAACCTGTTACGCAACTATATTTTCATTGGCTGGTTATATCCTGGTGGTGGTAGTGGCGCTGATTATAGATGCTCTTTTATTTACGCGATTTACCTGTTATTTTCGCCAATGTTTTCATGTTGTTGATTATCTAATTTATAGTACAAAAAGTAGGTAGGGGTTACTAGCAACGTTTCTTACTTTAGGTGATAGGGTTGTGCAACATCTTCAGGCGCAAGAAATGAATGATTGTTAGCTGTTTGTGATAAACTGCAAACGATGTCGTGGTGCCGGCTTCTTCATTGAGACATCAGACTGATCAGTCACTACCACGCACTAGTGTAGTACTACTACTAGTACCAGTAGTAGTACACACTAAGTACTAGTAGTAGTGACTAGTCACCACTCCAACTTACTACTTAGTTCTAGACGCAATCTAAGTTCTAAGCACGCTATTATATTTATAATATTAAAACTTAGGCAGTGGCTACGGGTACGGTAGCCGTCTCGAGGCTACGGGTACGGGAGTCCATTCGCTTCCATACATAACGAGACAAAGATGGCGGCGGTGGCGCTAGATTTCGAAATAACGCCTTTGGAAATGAATTCACGATTTGAGAGTTTAGATGAGCTAGAACCCTAACCCTAAACCTAACCCTAACCATAACCCTAAACCTAACCCTAACCCTAAACCTAACCCTAACCATAACCCTAAACCTAACCCTAACCCTAATCCTAACCCTAACTCTAACCCTAACGCCAAAAAGGGGCTTGAACGACCGACGGCTACCGTACCTCCAGCCACTGCGTAAAACTTATGTATTGATTATAATATACCCCTATCCGAATTTATACTACATTTATTAATATTGTGAGTAACGGTTCAAACTTCAAGGATAGAGAACATGGGTCCCAATAAAACCAATGTCATTTACATCAATATAAATATAATATCATATCAATATAATAGGTTAGGGTTATGGTTAGGGTTATTGTTAGGGTTAGGGTTAGGCACATTGGTTTTATTGGGACCCATGTTCTCTATCCTTGGGCCTGAGTAACAGCAGAAGTTTACTTTATAATTATAGGTATGGCTTCAGATGTCCAGGCACCTTTGCCCATTGGGCCACAACCTAAAGTCAACTACCCTATGAATGTTGTCTACTGCGGAGAGTGCACAATGCCGACTGAATACTGTGAATACTTTCCCAACTATGAAAAGTGCAAGGTCTGGCTTGAGAAGAACATGCCGGACATGTTTGCAAAGCTTGGTGTAGGTTCGTATATTCATTTTCTGCATTATTCTGGATTCGACACCTATTGCAATCTGAATGACGAAATTAGTGAAGGTCCCACTGACGGAAATTCACACAATTGTACCGATCCTGGTGTAGTAACTTGTGTTATCGAGTGAAGTATCACAAGATGTTATGTTCCTGAAAATACATGAAGCCTTTTTTTTTGCAGTAAATTCTTCCTATTCATCAAATAACATTGACAGCCTGTGTTATACTTTTTGTTTACGGGGTGTCTTCTGTTAAAGTGTTGCAACACTGGAACATCATGACAACCTCACATATGTAGAGCAGGGCACGAAATTAAGATTTTTTGCACTGGCCCAGAGAGCTGGTAACAGCATTTTTTTACAGGCCCTCACATATTTTGCTTGTAAAATCAATGTCATGTTTCATGCCTGCATTCTTGATTTCAAATTTGTAAAGTGTTGATAAATTATGGCGTGATATCCTTCAGGTAAAACAGTAATATAGCCTATTTGCTCATTAATGCTATAAATAAAAATGTAGGTGCCCGCTAACACGACCGAAACCACCGGCTCGGAGGGCCGGTGTTTTGCCAATGATACCAGCCCTCCAAATAATTTGCCGGTGGGCCAGTGCTAATTTCGCACCCTGTTAGTGTTAGAGGTGTTATTAATTAACCTAATTAACCAGTGATGACTAAGTATGACATCAAATTCTCCCCAGCGTCAGAAGAGGGAGCCGGTGAGGGCGATACAGACGAGAAAAAGAAGCGGCAGACGCGCGGCGGAAAAGGTCAGGTGAAGACGAAGAAGAAGGCAATGGGCCCGCAGAAGGTGTGCCTGTCAACAGCGCCACGAGGCAAGAAGAAATCGGTGACAGTCATCACAGGACTGAGAACTTTTGGTGAGTTTTAACAGATTGTCTCGCATGTGATTTATACTCCTGCATACTGGAACAAGCTCAGTTGACTTGTGGGTACGTGAAGCTAGTGGTATTCTTTATTGCTTCTCTAATCAATTGTGGTCCGTTTATCAGTAGGTTATACTATTAAATATACTAAGTGTTATGATATGTGTAAAATTGATATGATACGACATAATTTAGATCAGTTATTTAATGGCATGCATGTGCATGTTGCTAGTAGTATTTGCATATCTATTCATTTTACAGTACGTGTTTTTACGAATCGGATATCTACACAGCGTTCTCACAAATGTTAATGGGAAATCGAATTTTTTTCAGATATTGACTTGAAGGTTGCGGCAAAGTTCTTTGGTCAGCGTTTTGCCTGTGGCTCTTCAGTGACAGGGGACGATGAAATAGTTATACAGGGTGATGTAAAGGATGACCTCTGGGACGTTATCACAGAGAAATGGCCCGAGGTGTGTATAAACTTAATTAATTCCACATCTATCCATGGTATAGACATAAGAATGACAACTTAGAACACCAGGCCAGATAACATGCATGTTTTGCCCCTAATTAAATAAACTAAATTTAGTATATACTGGCTTGGTTTAACGTTGAAACCTTGTGTGTGCTCACAATATATATATATATATATATATATATCAGGAGTAGATAATACGGAGGAGTGTGACATCAATAAACAAGGGAAATTCGTCATTTACTAGCCTTAAAATACCTACGATTTACTACGCGTAACTCATCCAACTTGAGCTCAAATCGTACACAGTACATTCGCCTAGCATCGTGCGAAATCGTTTCCTCGTATAAACAAGCAACCCGGAGATACAGACTAAAACGTACGACACGATTATCCATTCTTTGGCCATCAATCCGAGCCGATTGCCCGCCTATATTCAAACAAAAGGCAGCTACTAACGCGCTATTGCTAACTCGGCGAGGCATGTGGCCCGCTGGGAGATTAGGCATCAACGCATGAACGCAGCACTCGGCGAGATAACCTTTGACCCGGTACACAGCTACATACCGGCATACAGCTGGCACGCTACCCCCACGCACGCACGCCAACCGCAATCAGCAGCATCTCCCAGCGAGCCACATTGCCCGCCGAGTTAGCAATAGCTCGTTAGTAGCTGCCTTTTGTTTGAATATAGGCGGGCAATCGGCTCGGATTGATGGCAAAGAATGGATAATCGTGTCATACGTTTTACTCTGTATCTCCGGATTGCTTGTGTATACGAGGAAACGATTTCGCACGATGCTAGGCGAATGTACTATGTACGATTTGAGCTCAAGTTGGATGAGTTTCGCGTAGTAAATCGTAGGTATTATAAGGCTAGTAAATGACGAATTTCCCTTGTTTATTGATGTCACATTCCTTCCCTATTATCTACTCTTGATATTATATATATAGTATTAATGTTCACTCTGTGTTCCTGGTACCGGTAACGTATCAATGTCTCTGTGATTTGGCAGATTGACGATGATCTGATTGAAGACCTGGGACATCAGAAAAGATAACACATGTAGATGGTTTCGGAGTATTTCTGTCCATGCATCAGCCGGTGCATCCTTTCGTCCGGTCCAGTTCAAGAAGTGCATGCACTAAAATGAGAGGGTCCAACGGAAACTTTTCCCGTTTGTTTATTATTTTGAAAAAAATTATGTGTGAATAAATAGTCGATGAATTTTCATAATTGTTGACGTTCTTTTGTTGCAATGGTATATTTTACTTGTGCTCTTTCAGTGGACCTGATCTAGCAGAGAAGAAAACCATGAGATGTGGGAGCAGTATTACATTCACTAATGGTTTACAAATTTTCGCATGACAAGTTATCGTTACATCATGATTCATCACATACAGAATGCAATTAAAAACCAGCATATAAATAACATTTTAAACAATTCTTCCCTGTTAACACCCGTAAGTCTCGATTTTTATCCACTTTGCGCTAATATATTTGTGATGTTGTTTGCGATTTCTCTAAGAAACCTCCTTGTTTGAAGTAACCAAAAACAGCATTTAAAAAAAAACGGACAGGTTGGATTGGTATAGGAACAAAATCTGGTATTTACAAGATCTCTGGCACTCTGGCGCAATTTTGGCCAGAATCATGCTCACTGATGATTGACAGGGCCTGCGCGGGCCCTTCTAAGCAACAGCTTGCAAGTTAAAACACACGTTGCTGTGTATGTTGTCAGCAGACACGGATCAATAGTTTTTGGAGGTAGGGCACGTTGGAACCTAGATAGATATACTTACACCAATTGTAAATGCCAGATCATGTTCTTTTAAAGTGGGGTAGTTAGATATTTGCTCGATGATTTATTGATTTGGTCCGTTATTGATTTGAAAGGGTCAATTATCCATGAGCCAAATTGTATGTGTGCGTCTCTGCATTCTCACGTGTTTTTCTCACTAAAGCAGTATTGAAACAAACCGGTATGGTTTTTAGCTCAGCTGACGAAGTCAGATGCAGCTTGTAGAATCGCATGAGTGTCCGTGCGTCCGTCCGTCCGTGCGTCCGTCAACAGTTGGGTACAAATCTTAACCACTCGACGTACGGTCTTGATATTCGGGATGTCGGGGGGATCACGATAAGGACTTGGGATGTCGAATTTGGGGGTCAAGGGTCAAAGGTCAAGATGTGTCAATGGAGGGGGAATATTTCCCCCTTAACTTAAGGTATAGGAGGAAATACGGAATTGCGGCACTAATCTCAACGGCTCGACCTACGCTCTTAATATTCGATGTATAGTGTGATGAAGAGGAAACCCATCACCAGCGCGAAAGTGGAGGTTACAGGTCAAAGGGCAGTGGGGGAAGGGTCAGATATCAGTCATTTTCAGAGGACATGCATATGGTCTAACGGACCGAGTGCAAAACTTTTTTTTGTTTCAGCGCCGATCTACCGTTTATATCACTTTATTGGAAGGACCATGAAATCTACTTTCCGCTGACGTGCGAAGAGTAAGTGTCTGATAACCTTTTGAAACCTCAAGAGGAGGGTTAAACATGGATTTGTTGACTGTTAACAAAGCCACACACGCACGCACGCAGCGCACGCTGTACGTGCACACGCACGCACGGCCACGCACGTGACGCGGTCGACTGCTTTTCATCGAGTGTTGAAACACAATCATACAAACGCAAAATGAGGACAACTATCACATCCCCAGCACTCCTGTAGACAGCAAGAGCCATATGTTTACATACAAGAGAGGCGCTCAGTTTGGTTCCTATGGTATGTGTCGCACAGTGTGATTGTTTATGCTAGCACGCCCCTCAACAGCCAGCAGCTACGGATGGCGTAGTGATTTACACCCGGAATTCATCAACATTTGCTACGAGGTGCTACGCTGCGTTGATGAATCGCCACCTACGAGCTTTGCGTACGTACTTCGTAGAAACCTGTGTACGGAATACACTTTGCGCCAACGTTGATGAATGCGGCCCCAGGGGCCCGCCTTAGTGCCCCTGGCGGGGTCCATGGGCAGAGCCCCTGGCAGGGGTCCGGGGAAGCTCTCAGAGTTTAGCTAATCAAAGCCTTCAAATTGCCTGACAAAAAAATTGAGCAGGAACCAAGGAGCAACATATACCAAGGAATGAAACCCGCGGGGGGGACTCACCCACATCTATTGGTAGGTAATCTGCGTATGTGCCACTGCGAAGTTAAAAATGGGGGGGGGGGCTCTGGAACTAACTCAGACCTGGAAAATCGTGGTCTCTGGAACTAATGTTTGTTGAATGTGGTATATGCTCTGGAACCGGCTATGTTCGAAATGGGGGTCTCCGGAACTAGCTAGGATTTCGTTGAATTCAATGCTATGACAACTGGACACGTTTAAAAGAGAGGGGTCTCCGGAACGTGGGGGAACAGTATTTGCTTTAAAATCTATGCTGTAGCACTTGAACCAATAATTGTTGTATTATGTAGAGGAAGAGAAAACATGACCCGGAGAGAGATGAACGCACGCGTGCGCATACACACACTAACTAAAACTAGACAGAGGGCACTCACGGAGAGAGCATACCTCCGCCAGCGACATACGCATACGACTCACGAACACACGAATAACCCACGATATACGCCAGCGTACATGTATGCTCGATCGCCGCTCAGTCCGCAGCAGCCGGCTGTGGCTGGCTCGCTCGCTGACGCGCTTAATATCGATCGCGTCACACACACAGCACACACACACACACACACAACACACACACACACACACACACACACACAGCGCGCGCGCGCGCGCTAACGTGTACACGAACGCACAGACCCGATTACATAACCTCCCCTCCACTCCGTGGCGGAGGTAAAAATAAGATAGCATGTAAGAGTATATAGAGGTCAGTCTGAACGTTGTAATTATAATTTATAAGTTGTTAACACCCTCAAGTGTGCCTACCTTTCCGCCGGGAAACAGCATCATCGACAAAGATGGTCCCAACTTGGGACTCCAAGGAAATAACACCTTGACATCGATTATCAAATTAAGCACAGGTTTTATATGGGATTGACTTTCGACACTTTAATTTTTCGATTTTTCGATGAAAGTGCGTCCAGCTTGTAGGCTACATCACTCATTTTTGGGCGATCCCCCTATTATTTTGCAAGAATCTTCTTCTTCTTTACCTTTTCTTGCAAATGATGGGGAGGGGGGGTGACCCCCCACCCCACTCATCATTTGCAAGACATTTGCCAAGATGTTTCTTTTTTCTTTTTCTTCTTCTTCTTCTTCTTTTTCCATTTTCTTTTTCTTTCTTTTTCTTTTTTTCTTTTCTTTTTCTTTTTTTCTTTCTTCTTTCCTTTCTCTTGCAAATGATAGGGGGGCGACCGCGCCCCCCCCTGCCCCCCTGTGGCGCCGCCCCTGCAGTCTACTACTACTACTACTACTACTACTACTACTACTACTACTACTACTACTACTACTACTACTACTACTACTACATACTACTACTACTATATTAGTAGTAGAGTATATGTACTTTAGTAGGCTATATGAACTGCCACAAAATATGTCTCATACCTCCAGTTATACTGTGGAAACTCATCACTCAGATAGAGTAGAATTTCACTGCGTGACATTGTTGATTCTAACAGATTTAAAAGACGTTCATCGAAGTTCATCATCTTCTCTCCCCTAATTTAAAACCATGGTATATAATTTAACATAGTGTGGTACAGCGTATGCGGCGCCGGGGGGGGGAGTAAACAGCTGGCGGGGGTAGCCAGTACACGCGGGCGCATAACGCCGACCAGGCTGTGTGACTAACGCAATATACACACTTTTAACCCTAGCAACAAGACCGTTTTCTTTGGAGCTAGCCGGCCCGGCCCCCCCCCACATCCGAGCGTCGGAGGACCGCATGCGCGTTCCCAAAATCTCCGGTAAAGGGGTATTTATCGCGCGGACAAAATCCGGCCCAAAAAATTGTAATAAAAGGGGTGTATTTGACTTATTCACCGGAAATTTCTTTAAAAAGGGGGTGTTTTTCCTCTCTCTCTTTCATCCTTGAATATCATAGAAAACTTTATCAAATCCCGGATCAAATTCCTGAAATTCCTGCTAGTTTTGAAAGCTCATCAGGATTATTTAATTTTGAAATGTAAAAATATTGCCCCTTAGTTCCCCTCGATCACTGAAACTCTACACTACGTAGTGTAGACTGGTTCGACAGTTCACACGCTACACTAACGTCACTATGGTTGGAATGAGAGCTCACCTGAGGTAGGGGTACATTGAGCAGTGTTCCGGATTTAGGGGGTCTCCAAGGCAGGAAAAACCCGCAAAAGCCAAGGGGGGGTTCAGAAACTTTAGCAGTCCTGAGATAGGCGGGTGCTTTCAAAGGGAGGGAACGAGCATATGCGTACCCTAATTAACACTGAGTGGGGGGGGGCGGGCTAGCGGCAGCGAATTTGCGATTCCCAAACCGTATAGCTTGGAAGAAAAATTGAGCAACGTGATTGGCCTAGAAAAATTTTAGGACACGCATTATTAGTCAACAAGCTAATATATTAAATTATAAGCTAATATTATAAAGAAATATATATTTAATTCAGAACATAAACAAAAGTTACAGAACAAATAAAATGCAGAAACAAATAAAATACAAAGAAATACATAACGCAGAGGAAAATAAAAACACCATATGGCGTTCGAACCCTAACCCTAACCCTAACATTAACCATAACCCTAACCCGAATCCTAACCCTAACCCTACCCTAATTCTAAAATAAAACAAAATTAGCCAAAAATAATAAGAAATAAAATAAATAAGCCCCTGTGCAAAATGCGCGATGCCGATGGTGTGCGTGCGATAGTGGGCGTGTCCTAAACATTTTCTAGCCAATCGCGTTGCTCAATTTTTCTTCCATAGCTATACGGTTTGGGAATCGCAAATTCGCTAGCGGACACAGTGCCAGTATGGGGTTCGGAGCCAGGTGCCGCCGTATTGGCCGGTAGGAAAGTCTATTTGCGCCCATGGGCTACTGGTAATGTTGATATTAAACGATTAATACGTTCTAGAATGCTTAATGCTAGTGTACAAATTACTCTGCATATTGGTATGCCATTCAGGGGCGGATTCAGACCGTATTTGCCGTATTGGGAAATACGGTCTAGATTCGAAGTGCCCTTCGAAATTTTGCGCTAAAAAATAAGATAGGTATAAAAAAACTGTCAGATGAAGCCA